TTAGGAACAGTCTGCAGTTTCTCCTTTATTGTTAGGCATATTGATGGGATAGGATAGGGTAGCTTATCTTGTTTTTATTATGACAACAATAATAGCTATTATATATTCATCACAGAATTCTATGAAATAGGTGCTGTATTTTAACTCAGGCAGGATTTCATATTTTGATTATTTTGGAGTATTCCAGAAGAGTAGTTTATATAGCAGGGTTGATGTTCACCGATAGGTTTCTTCCTACCCAGTAGTAGTGCTGATGAGTTGTTTTTCAACCAGCTGCAGATAATCCATGACATTGGTACATGGTGGAATGATTTTGAATCCTAGTCATCCTGCACCTGGGCGTTCACTTAATAATCCCAAACAAGCCCCTTTGATCCTTTTGTTTTCATACTACATGTTCTTACAGATTTGACTACTATAAACTGAAATATGCCACCAGAACCTTTTGTGCTTCTGACGTATTTATTTTTCTGACGTATTTATTTTTCTGGATAACTTTCAGATACCTTATATTCAGCAAGTCCAAAATCCAGCTTCCCATCCCCTCCTTGAAAATGTATACCACTTCCTATTTTGCTATCTCACTTTTTAGTATCAACGTCTACACAGCCAGAAACTTGGGAACTGCTTTTTACTCTTCCTTCTGATGTTTCCTGTATCCTATGTATTTTACTCCCTAAGTAAATACAGATCTCCTCTTCCTAATACACCCTTATTATTAACAGCCCTAGTTTAGGTCTTCCTCATCTCTTATTTGGATTATTGCACAAGCCTTTTAATTGATATTCTTGCCTCCCTCATCCATCCTCCACATTGTTGCCAAAGTTGATCTGTTTATCTAAAAGGCAAATCTTGTTATTCCACTGTGGCCCTTTCCTGTCATCTTTGCATGGCATATTAAAAAAAAACAAACAAACCTGTTGCCACCGAGTCGATTCCGACTCATAGCGACCCCACAGGACAGAGTAGAACTGCCCCATAGGCTTTCCAAGGAGGGGCTGGTTGATTTGAACTGCCGACCTTTTGGTTAGCAGCCATAGCTCTTAACCACTGGCAGTTGATAAGCTGGTCCACAGCTTAATGCTTCAGCCTCATCCTGTGCTGATCCCTAGCTCACCGTCTCCCCTCTCCACCCCCCAACATACTATACTGAGTTTTGTCTTTGCTTATTATGTCGGTCCTTTGGGACTGCTTTCCTTTTCCTCGTGTAGTTAATTTCCACTTAACCTTAAACCCTCCTCCTCCAAGGAGGGGTCTCTTTCAACTAGGAAACCTTTTTTTGATTTCTGCTCCCCTGTTTGACCACTTTGTACTCTTGTAGCATTTCCCAAATTGTACTTGAGAAGACATTCAGGGACTGCCCACTTTGCTAGCCATTAAACTCTTGGAGGGTCTCATTTCCTATCACATGGTGGCACTCAATAAATGTTTCCTAAACTGTTGAATTCAACTGTTTTTAATCATGGATCTGTTAACTTCTAATATGGATAGACAAAAAGGACAGAAGGAAAACAAGGCTGGTGATGATGTAATTAATGCTGATTAATTAGACCTCCATAGGACTACCCTACGTCCTCAAGCCTTGTTGGACATCAGATTCCATTCTGTACTGGGGAAAGACTGAATTGGGCTATTGAAAACGTATCTGAGGGGGTGGAGGTGATGTGGTGTCATAGTAGTGGAAGTTGTAGTGTTAGAGGAGACGAGATAGTGATGGGTGATGTATGGTAAGAAAGTACAGATCATACTAAATTACCTAGATATGCATTTTAAGTGAAGCTTTAAAAAAATCTTGAAAACATTTTCTCTGTAACAATATCAGCACTTAGACACTTTATTAAGACTGGATAATGACTATTTGGCAAATCACCTTTGACAGCTTCCTGCTCTGTGTTCCACAGTGTGGAAAGATATAATCCAATTAAGAATTGATTATATTGCCTTTTTAAATAAAGAAACTACGAACTTACCAAAAGTAATTTAGATGAGTATTCCAGATGTTTTCAGTACAATGACAACTTTCTAAATATCACTTTCTTTGTGTCTTTTAGAAGTTTACAGAAATTATTAATGTCTACCTTTACAGCTGTAGCTTTAAACTGCTGAAAGTCGTTTTTATAGGGCAGTGGTTACTGCAGGCATTGTTATGATGCCATTTGAATTGCTTACTCAGAATTTATTAATTGCTCTCTGGTTGGTCTAGACTTGAGTAAATTTCTAAAATCTTAACACCTGTATCCTGTAAGCAAGCATTGTTTTAGTTAAATTTTAATTTAAAATTGCGCATTTACATGTCTTATGGTATAATGCAGGAAGAAAGGAAAACTAAAGATTGGGACAATAATCATGGAAGAAAAAGATAAATTTCTTATTTGTAAAAAAAGACAGCTTCTTAATTCCCTTTGTTTCATAATGCTTAGGGAAACAAATCTCAAACAGATGAAAGAAAAATACTTTATAGGAAACCCAAAACCTACCAAACCCACTGCTATAGAGTTGATTCCGACTCGTAGCAACCCTAGAATAGAATTGCCTCTAGTTGTTTCCAAGGTTGTAAATCTTTACAGAAGCAGACTGCCACATCTTTCTCCTGCAGAGCAGCTGGTGGGTTTGAGCTGCTGACCTTTTGGTTTGCAGCCAAGTGCTTTAACCGCTGTGCCACCACGGCTCCTGCTTTATAGGAAAGGGGGATAAGAATCCAAGTAATTTAAAAGTGATTGTATTTTGTAACATATATTTAACAGTTTGAAAAACAAAACAAACATTATATACAGGATAAAGACCTAAGTGTCAGCTGTGGGGAGTTAGTTAAGGTCATTGATGTGTTATAGTTAGTCTTGCTTTTAGCAAGTATGGTAGTCTGAAAAATAGGCCCCCAAAAGATATTGTTGTTAGCTGCTGTCAAGTCAGCCCCTGTCTCATGGTAGCCCCATATAAAGCGGGATTGAGCTGTTGTGATCCATAGGATTTTCATTGGCTGATTTTTGGAAGTGGATCACCTGGCCTCTCTTCCTTGTCTATCTAGTGTGGAAGCTCCAGTGAAACCTGTTAGCATCACAGCAGCATGCATGACTCCATTGACAGATGAGTGGTGGCTGTGCTTGAGGTGCATTGGCCAGGAATTGAACCCAGGTCTCCCACATGGACAGCGAGAATTGAGAATTCTACCACTGAACCACCAGTACTCTCCCCCAAAAGATATCTAAGTCCTAATCTTTGCAACCTGTAAATGTTACCTTATTTGGAAAAGGGATCTTTCAAATATGATTAAGGATTTTGAGATTATCCTCTGTTATCTTGGTAGGCCCTAAATGCTATTGCAAGCGTTCTTGTAAGAGAGAGACAGAGGGAAGAGGAAGAAGCAGTGTAACCATGGATGCAGAGATTGGAGGGATGCTGCCACAAGGCAAGAAACTGGAAGAGGCCAGGAATGGATTCTCCCCTAGAGCCTCTGGAGGGAGTAAGGCCCTGCTAACATCTTGATTTCCACCCAGTGATACTAACTTCGGACTTTTGGCCTCTAGAACTGTGAGAGAATACATTTCTGTTTTAAACCTCCAAACTTGTGGTGATTTGTTAGGGCAGCCACAGGATTGTTCAAAGTGTAAATTGTTGTTGTTAGGCGCCCTCGAGTTGATTTTCGACTCATAGTGAGCCACTGTGACGGAGTAGAACTGTCCATAGGGTTTTCTAGACTGTAATAATCTTCATGGGAGCAGATTGTCAGATCTTTTTTCCCTTGGAGCCACTGTGTGGGTTTGAACTGCCAACCTTTCTGTTAAAGCCAAGTACTTAACCATTGAGCCACCAGGGCTCCTTATAGTGTAAATAGACACTTCTAAATAGGACTGTGTACCTAAACTCTTTCTTCTTTTGGGAGGGTATAATTTATAGTTTGCTCGTATTAGACCGTAATCCTATTTCGGATACTTTTGAATAGATCAGACAATTTTTTTATGATTAAAGCAGCTGATAAACAATTTTAAGCACAGAACTCTGAGATTTTATTTTAGCTCAAGGTAAGTTATAATTTAAAGCTCCTTTTTATTTTTTTTAATCCACTCTGGAGGCTCCCTTGTGGCTACTTTCATATAGCTACAGTAACCAGAATACAATTCGGACCCCTAAAATTTTACAGTACAGTGTCAGCTCTATTGCCTGCATATCTGCTATTTAATATGAGTTCCACCTTGACCCACGCTATAGAAAATCTATACCTGAGTCTCTTGTCTAAGAATCGAGTTGAGAGTGTACTAAGATCCAGCATGTGCCAGGGTCTCACTTGTGACTTTGGTTTATTGAGAGTCTGACCAAAGGATAATGACCATATAAATTCTCTACAGTTTAGCCCTACCTATATCAAGTAATCATTAGATAACAGTGCACCTAGACGATATCATCTTAATCCCCTCAAAGACTCTGTGTGGAGGGGATGATCCAGGAGACATCCATTGGACTTCCTCTGGATATTCTGCAAAGCTATTGTTCAAGATGCCCTTCTTGGAGAAAGGTGGGGTGCAGAACTCAAATCCTGTTAAGAAGACCAGACTTAATGGTCTGAGACTGGAGGAAAAGCATGGCTTTTCTCTGGATTCTCTGTCAGCCCAGAACTAAAACAGTTTCTGAGGCCAACTCTTCAGACAGGGATTGGACTGGACTGTAACATAAAGTGATACTCGTGAGGAGTGTGCCTTTTCGCTCAGGTAGATAGGAGAGACTAAACGGGCAGCTTCTGTCCAGAGGTAAGATGGGAAGGCAGAGAGGGTTAGGAGCTGGTTGAATGGACATGGGAAATCAGGGGTGGAAAGGAGTGTGCTGTTGCAGTATGGCGAGAACAATTAGTCACGTAACAATGTATGTATAAATTTTTGTATGGAAAAAAAAAAGATGCCTTTCTTTATGCCATCTAGTGCTGTCCCCCTTTTAAAGAATCTATAGTTTTTTTCTGGAATTAGAAACAGAAAAGTCACTATCAAACATGTTTCTCTTTTTATCTTAAGCTTCCAGGAATTGCACTTCGTATTCAGCTGCATGTGGGTTACTAACAGGAGATAAGTGAGAAATCTACCCTTTCTGGCAATTTTTGTTTGTTATACAGTAAGTCTTAAAATAGTAGTCATAAATTTTGAGTAAGCATACCTGTTGGCTTTCTGTCATATGAGGCACGTAAACCAGCATTCTTGTACTTTGAATACTTTCTTTTCTAGAATAACTTAACTCTTCTTGAAAAGTGATTAATGTGTGTGTTACCAAAAAAACACTTGATAAGTTAGGGAGTGGCAGGTCATTTTTTTCCTGACCTTTTACATATTGGAGGGCTGAGAAATAACAATGCTTATTTATTGAAATAGATGATATCTTTTCAGTTTTATGGTTGTCAGTTATGGAATGTGCCACGCCCTTGACAGGACCATCTCATTCAACTTTGCCAGTGACTTTGAAAAATTTTATCACTTTACAGATTCAAAAAAAAGAAGCCTCTGAGAGGTTGAGCAATTTGCCTATGGATTCGCAGCCACTAACTGCCAGAATTGGGATATAAACCCAAGCTGATCCAGTTTGAAGGGTCACTTAAACCATGCTTCCTAGCTGCTGCATTTGTTGTACCATACATAAGGACATTCCTAAAGTAAGTTCTGTGTGGTTAGTCTTGAGGAATTTATGGGTTTAGTGCATCTACTTTCCCTTCTAGGGAAACTAGGACAAGGTCTTGGGCACAAATGTATCTCCCAGTCAAGGTATTTGGGGGCTTTGGGGTCTCAAATAGTTAAATGGGAACCTATATTATTAGTATTTTTTTTCACTTGAACCCTGTTCGTCCATCTAACATCTACAGTCTTGGTCTTGGTTTTTTGGTTCTTTCCTCACCCAGTTTAAGGACTGTATCTTAGAGTTAAGATAGAAATGGCATTTTAGGGCATTTCCATATTACTTTGTTTGCCAGGTACTGTTAAATGAATATTTGTGTTTAGAAACAATGTTACAGTAAGTGATTAGGTCTCTAGTCTTTAAAACATTAACCCATAGTATAGTTGAACTAGTATACAAATATATTTTTTCCAATATCTTAGACACATAAGTATAATATGTTTTTAATGGAAAAAGTTAGAATGAAAATTTTAGTTTGAAGTTGGGAACTTAAAAAAAAATTTATATTCATTTTCAAAACTATTATTCTTCTGAAAACCTGAATTAGAGCCTAACTAAAGGAACCAAATTCTGTATGTTAGAATGATAAATTTTTACTATCTATATATTCATATTATCCTGAAAGTAGACAAGATTTCTGGGGCAGGGACAGAAAATCATTAACCCATAGCAATGATTACATCCATTCCCCTTTACCCTGGTTCTTCCCCTCAGGGCAATGTGATGAGAGATAATGTCATCCCATCTATACCAGGTCTGCTGGGTAGGTGAGGAACCCCCCAAATTATGAATCTGGGTGATTACATATACGCTGTCCACCTTTCCTCCTGAGAGAGGGAGAGAAACCTTTGCTTTCTAATGTTAAACAAATTCTCCTTGGGACCAGGAAGGGGAAGGATCCTAGGTTCTTAATCTTTGGAGTGTAAATAAGTGTTTCCAGGGGGAATTCCTGTTTGTGCACACCCTTCTAACTCGAGATATTTTCAGGTCATCTTAATTTTTGTCAGTATCTCAGACAAAAAAGTAGAGCATGGATAAGATTGTTTTGATTTTGTAACTTGATGATTTAGTAATATTAAGCACATTTAATTTTATTGGCCATTTGTATTCCTCTGTTAATTACTCATTTTTGCCTATATTGGGTTGTCTTAAATTTATTAGGGAGGACTCAGTATATATTATGGGTAAAGTCTTCTGGGTATTACATTTTGCTGAGACTGTCTTCCAAGTCCCAATAGTCTTAATCTTTTATAGTTTTTAAAAATGCTGAATCATTCTGGATTTTATTTTTATTCATTCCGTTTTAGGTACAAATGATTTAATTTAAAAATGTAAAATAAAGTTATCTGTCTGATTCAAAACATTATAAATTCAAGTGAGTGTTTTTGAACCCTTTATTTTGTTAAGGTAAGCCTCCCTCATTATTCTTTTTCAGAAATATCCTAGGTGTAGTTGTGCTTTTTCCAGGTGACCTTAGAATCAGTTTGTTGGTATTTTGATTGGGATTGCATTAGGCTTAATATGTTTTATTTATCCAGTTTGGATCCTCTGTAATGTCCTTCATTTAAGTTGTAGAATTTTGACTCATGGGTATTTTGTAAAATTTAATCCTAGGGCTTTTATTGCTTTTGTTGCTATTGTGAAGGGGCTCTCTCTCTTTTTTTTTTAATTTTTAAGTTTTGTTTTTTATTGTACTTTAGATGAAGGTTTACAGAACAAATAGTTTCTCATTAAACAGTACACATACTGTTTTCTGACAATGGTTAACAACCCCACAACATGTCAACACTGTCCCTTCTCAACCTTGGGTTCCCTATTACCAGCTTTCCTGTCCCCTCCTACCTTCTAGTCCTTGTCTCTGGACTGTTGTGCCCCATTAGTCTTGTTTTGTTTTATGGGGCTGTCTGATCTGGCTGAATGGTGAACCTTGGGGGTGACTTCATTACTGAGCTAAAAGGGTGTCCAGGGACCATACTCTCAGGGTTTCTCCAGTCTCTGTCAGGCCAGTAAGTCTCGTCTTTTTTTGTGAGAAAATTTTGTTTTACATTTTTCTCCAGCTCTGTCCAGGACCCTCTGTTGTGATCCCTGTCAGAGCAGTCAGTGGTGGTA